CCATTCACCGCCATTCCTCTGAAATGACAGAATTATTCGGTCAGTTTGATTTAAATTATACACTCTTAGCAAAACGGTATTGAATCATCACCAAATGGAGTGCATATATGACTTAACCGGCGCGGTGATAACGGGCATAACCGTATAGTGAAAAATATACACCCCTGTGGTGATGATAACTTACCACACAGAATCGAACTATTACCAACCCGGGGAGAAATGCTCACCAAATCAATAATCATGACGGAGTGTATATATGACTTCACCACTTTGCTAAGAGTGTAGGAAACTTCACTCACTATCATAAATAATCAGTCAAATGAATGAAAGTGAACCGGTAGGAATATATATAGATTTCTGGTATATATTTTCGATTTTAGCGTTTAATACAGACCGGAGTACTTCTGGTTTGTTGGATATACGCCGTAATTGGGATTCTAACGTGGCTGTTTGGAATCCGAATCACAGAAGCACTAATTTACCAAGATCCTTTCGCCTTTACCGAAGCTACGTGGAGAAAGCGAGATACTCCTTTTTCGTGACAGATGCATCATCAAAGCTTCAGCCAAAAGAAGCAATTTCCCCCTTGAGCCACTTTCTTGGTTAAATACTTAAATTGCTGCCCAAAAACCTGTAAATGTTAATTAAGCTAAATAATTATTTATTATCGATAACATTTCAAATCCACTATAACTATACCTGCGGGGGTGACTAATTCATTTTTTTCCCATTCCACCACGGTTAACCTCTCCAAAGAAGGAAACCGTTTCTCATACAGCAACTTAACCTTAACCGTCTCAGTTTCGAAATTTAAGTTGAGATACCGACGAAACCACTGGTTTTGTCCAGGAAATCGACTGGTTTAGACCAGTCTGTTTCGTTGTAAGGCACAAGATTTTGTTTTTTCAAAATTTTGAAGGCCTTGCACCTTGGGAAAATCGGGATCTTCATATACCTCCACCTGTACTGGTGCTCATTCCAGAGTTTGCAAGGGTAAAAGGCATGCCGTGCCTAAAATGCCTTTTTGCCTATTAGGCACGTGAAGTTTGGCCATGCCCGATTGCCTGAAATGGCTTTTTGGTAAAATCGGGGCAATGTGATAACATTATCCCATGCTTTGTTAGTTGTAATGTTTGATAATTCACATGATTTATCAATATGTGAACAATTTTGTTATCCAATTAAGGTATGTTTATTAAGCTGAGGTGAAGGATTGTCGACACCAATAAACACTTTGAGGTGCATAAATATTCATAAACACTCGTGATTATTATTATGCGCAAGTAAATAAACTTGTCAAGTAGTTGTAGAGAAATGCAAGGTTGGTAACAATTTAGAAAATCAAAATATAAAGCAAATTACATTGTCATCACACTTTCTTGTCCAAAGCAAGTTTGTAAAATGGACAAGGCAATGCCCAATGTAAACATACGGAAAAAGGTAAAAAGGCATCAAAGGGGCAAAAAGGCACGCAAAAAGGCAATTGGGCATTGAAAAGGGCAAAAAGGCATAAAATTTTCCCCAAAAAGGGGCCTATTTGCACACTCTGGTTCATTCGGACAGATGTTTCCCACCCAGGAGATGCACACGTGTTCTAACTGTGGCGCGAGGTGATAAAATACGTCGGATCCGTTGGCCATATCTCAGGTTAAGAGGTTAAACTCGAGCCGAGTCACATTAGAAAAAGTTAGAAGGAGGTGTCTCAAATGTAAAACCACCAGTACAGCTTTGCTTAGCCCGAGCCAGGGAGCCCTCCACCTGAATTTTTTTCCAATTTAACTTCGTATTCTTTCATTAGAAGTCATTACCAATCTTTATGCCAAATTTCGGCTTAATTGAGTGATTTTGCAAAATCAGTATGGGTCACCCCACCGGGTACCTCTGGGTCAAAATTTTCAAAATTGTATATCATAAACTCTCATTATAAGCTGTTATCGACTTCAATACCAAATTTCGGCTTAATTGAACGATTTTGAAAAATCAGTTTGGGTGACCCCATAGGGTCCCTCCAGATAAAAATTTTCACAAATTCACTTCATATCTTTTCATTATAAGCCATTAGTTACCTATGTACCAAATTTCAGCTTTCTACCATAATTTTGAAATTTTGCTGCATGATACCCCATCCACTCCGATGACCCCCACCGGTCAACCACTGGACCGATTTTGCTAATCTTCGAACTCGATTAGTTTCTTGGACCCATAAACAAGTGGGCAAAATTTCAAGTCGATCGAAAAAGAGAGTTAAAGAGAGTTATCGCGAAGACGGACAGACAGACATAACGGGTACATAAGCCCTGGCTCGGGCTAAAAAGTAAAGTGAGGGGGCCATTCTCGAAGATGGGGAACGTTCTTAGTAAAGAGATTGATCGGAGGTGGGGTAAAATAAGGCCTTGTTCTTGAGTTAAACCGCCATGAATATTTGTCAGCTGGAGATTTTGCACGTGACTGAATACAGTGAGAATTTGGGTGGTTAGCGAGACGAGGTTGCCCAACTGCTCGGGGTTATATTTAGGATAGAGTTGGGCCGCGTCAACGGATAAGGTGGTCAGTTTTGGGGGTTTTGGGACTGTCGAGAAGTAGGTCAACCCAATGCTGATTGGAAGAAAAAAAATCTTTGCAATTTGACAAAACTGTTCAAACTCGAGAAACGTCAAGTTTTTGAAAGATTCGTAAATCTTGACGATACGAGCGGTCACGTTGCGGGATGAGTTATCGAGGGGGAATTTGAGACTTAATTTTGTCCCGGTGTTAAAATTGATGCCAGAAAATGATTTAATTTTTTAGAATAAAATGTCCACATTCTCCTTGGGCAAATCCGGAGATGTCTCAGAGCTTCCTCTTCCCACGTGGAGTTGCCGAGAGAGATGGATTCTAATTCGGGAGTGGGGAGAAACTCCATAATTTTGTAGACAATCTGAAATATGTAAAATTTTAATAAATAAATTATTTAAATGAAACCTTTATTTTGAAATTTCCCAAAATCGTAGATTTTTAAATGTTGTAAAATCGTCAAAAAAATTTAGGAAATACTGAAGCAAATGATACGCTTAACTAATTCGTAATTACGCACATTTAAAATTCATTACAATTATTTTAAAATATTCCAAAATCATAGAAATTTCTGTATGTTGCAAAATCGTCAAAACTTTAAGCTGTAAATTATTTATATTGCACGATTAGCTAATTCTAAATGACATATTTTCGTAAAACACATATATACATTATTTGCAAATTCGTGAATGAACTCATTACCTCGGGCAAGGTGGAAATTAAGTGTGTAGAACTGGTCATTTCTATGGGTGATTTTGTACCTTTGAAACTACTAGGTTTTCAAGTAAACGAGTCTAATGTACCACAAGAAGAGAATAATGTAGCATGGAAATTATTTGTCTTTTTTCAATATTTTGTATTGACACTTTAACTCAGATGTATAGGAAGTTAGCCCAGCCCAGAATTTAAATTTTTTAATTTTTAAGCTTTCCCGCTGTCGATGATTTGACGACTGAAATGTGTTCCCTAACACTTCTAAATAATTCCCTAAAATTTTCAGCCAAATCGGTGGCGGGAAACTTTTGAAAAATACGAAAATGTCGTTTTTTGCCCCGCACCCTCGATTTTAATGAATTTTCATAATTTGTAAAGTGCGCGCGGGCGTGTTCTGATTGCTGAAATATCTTCAGGGATACTTGGAGAGTATTTCCTGAAAGTTTCAAGAAAATCGTACGTCGGGGACCCCTTCCAAAATTGACAAATGTCTATTTTTATCCTTCCCGTCCCAGTTTTCTCAACTTTAATGAATTTTGACAATTTCAAAAGTGCGTGCGGGCGAGTTCTGATTTCTGAAATGTCTTCAGGGATACTTGACGAGTATTTCCTGAAAGTTTCAAGAAAAGTTGACATGGCGATTTTATATCTGGAGTTTTGTTAAATTTCAGCAAATCTGTTTCCTTTACAATGTTTCTTAATTACCCTGTTCACACAATAATCCAAGTATTATGGTAAATATACGACATTTTTTATTAAGGTTAGGGGTTTGAATGTTCGACTCCTTTGTAGTCAGCTTTTCTTATCTATGTATGTGTGTGATACAATAATGTATGTATTCATAAAGTAATAACCTTTTAGACTTTTATATTGATGTACAGAACTCATGCAAGCATTTAATCCGTTTAAAAAGTTTAGGTCTAAACGTAAAAATTCATTTTTTTAGAAACAGCAAGAACGATCATGATTACTTTTAATACACGTATAAACATAATTAGATCAATTTATAGACTTAGATCCACGATTAAACTCATGTTTAATTTCTATTGTATCAAGGAAATTATTGTTTGCATTTATAATTATCCAATAAAATAAAATTTTTAACCACAATTATTTAGCCATGTCCAAATTATCGATGAGATGCATAATTTTTTATAATTAATTACGCAACATACAGCTGGAAACTTTCAAATTATTCATGCCACATTTGCGCTCGCCACACCCACTCAAAAATGCCCAAAAAATGCTTTCAGTCCAGTTTTAACTCACTCAAATACACGCCAAAAATCCAATTCTACTCGGATTTTGAAATTTCTTTCACCATTACACTCCCAGATAGTTGCTTTCTTCAATCCAATATCAAACTCAATTTTGTTGATGATTATTTCGCAAGCATAATTTGCGTTGTTAATTACTACAAAAATCCTCATTCAGAATTTCAAATTTTAAAAATACTAAAAATTTCGAAAACATTGAGTTTGATATTGGGTTGCAGAAAGCAACTATCTGGGAGTGTAATGGTGAAAGAGATATCAAAATCCGAGTAAAATTGGATTTTTGGCGAAACTATCGTCTTTTACTTTGACTCCCACTCCCGCGGTGAAAAAGGCGTTGTTGCGGCAAATGGACTTGCTTGTGTGATTCAATTCGATAAAGTAATAGCACCAAAAGAAATATCAAGATTGATTCATAGAAATTTAGAACCAAAATCAGATATTTCAAGAGCGACTGAAATGCAAATGCAACACTACCTCTTCAATTTGACACCCGTTATTGTCAATCAGCACGAAATTATTGTATCAGACATTCCACAAGAAAATGCAGTAAATTCGCCAGTGCATAATGACGATCCTGAATTGCAACAAGATGAGGATATTCTTGCAAATTTATGCTCCGCAGCCAGGATACAGTTTGGTGAAGTAGTTGTGACAGATTCATTGTTTCACTCCATCGATTACAGAGTTCCCGAACTTTCCTCAGTTTTACCAGCGCACGCAACAATCCATATTAATAAAGAAAGGGGTCGAATTTTACAAACTAGTGAAGAGAAATTTTTAGAAGAGTTATCATTTGTCCAAATGTTCCCCTACGGAAAAGGTGGATTAAGCTGCATCAGGTCAACACAACTAACACCGTTGGATTATTTTCAGTCACGAGTCATGTCTCCAAACACAAGATTCTGGGACAATTCCTATTTGTTTTACGCACTCAGTAGAATGGAGGAACATCGTGTGAAGCAAAAAATTGCGGTTTGTGGACAAATGGAAAATGGAGGGCAAGACGGCGACCACCCTGCTTTAAAGAACATTCACCTGTATATGTCCTCAATTAGAGGAAGTGCCTCTTACTGGAAGAAGTACACAGGCGACCTAATTGCCATGATTAAACAACTCGGTGTTCCTACTTTCTTCCTGACATTTTCATCTGATGATTTGAATGCACCGGATTCTTTGGCTGGGTTAATTGTTGCAGAATCGATGAGGGCCAACTCTGAATATAAGGATATCTCTGCTGCAGTCAAGACGTGCTTGGAAAATAATAATATTGTTGGCTTAAAAGAAATTTTGAAAACTCTCAATTATGATCAAAAGTGCGATTTACTCAATCGTCATCCCATCCAGTCTGCGAGACACTTTTCTCATCGCGTAAATGCATTCATGAAATTCATCAAATCCTCCGCTGCTCAGATATTTGGATTTCCTTTGAAAGAATACAGTTACCGCATTGAATTCCAACATAGGGGCTCTCCACATTTACATATGCTGATTTGGTTAGATGGAACATTACCCGACTTTAAATCTCCAGAAGGGATATCATTTATAGATAAAAATGTCTCATGCAGAATTCCAGACGAAGATGATGAGCTGAAATATCTTGTACCTAAGTATCAAAGCCATCACCATAAAGAGACTTGTTACAAAGATAGAGAAAAACCAAGTTGCAGATTTGATTTCCCAAGAAAAGTGGCAAGCGAAACCAAAGTCCTTGAAGAAGATGACGTTGCTAGAAATAAGGGAAGGTTTGTTACATTAAAAAGAACAAAGGCGGAGCAATTCATAAATAATTATCATCCAGTCCTTCTAAAGCTTCTGCAATGTAACATGGACATCCAACTAGTGACCGATGCAAATGCCGTGGCATATTATATTGCTAAGTACATTAGTAAGGCAGAACCAACAGACATACAAACTGAAATCCAAAAGATATTTCAAGATATGCAAGCTAATCCTTCTTCATCTTGCTACAGTATGGCAACTAAAATAGCTATGAAAATTATGAATCACCGTCAAGTCGGAGCCCCTGAAGCTGCTTTTCGCCTTTGCCACCTTCCATTACGATATTCCTCAAGATCATTTGTCTTCATACCTGCCTATCAACCAAGTGACCGACTACATCTTGTACATAAAGAAAGTGTGGGAAGAGGGAATGTGAAAATAGGATTGAGCATACTTGAGCGTTATTGTGTGAGGCCTGACAGCTTAAAGAGTTGGTGCCTGCTCGAATTTGCTGCTTGGTACAAACCATGCAGAAGAGAAAATCTTATCTTTGAAAATCCTGAGGATACATCAAGTGAGGAAGATGAAGAGGAAGAGCTGGATTTAAATACAATCGATCTTAAAAACAACAAGGGAACGATGAAGAAAAGAAAGAAGGCTGCCGTAGTAAAATATCCAAATTTTGATATAATCAGGGAAAAGGAATCCTACTATTACTGCATGATTCTCCTCTACTATCCCTTTGATGATGAAGAAACCCTTGTAGTAGAGTACGGAACAAATGCTGAGGCATTTAGAAATCTATGCACTAGATTCCGCTCATTTCAAGACTCAGATATCTTGCGACCCGACTTAGCACAAGAAATAGATAAAGCTCTGACTCGAATACAACTTTGTGAAGTTCCTGCTCCTCCTTTTGTAAATGGCGAAGACATCAATTATGGCGATGAATTTGAGGATGAGCCAAACATTCCAGACCAGGGCGAACTTTTCCAACCTCCACCAAATGTTGGCAGCCTGGTAGACCGGTATCGTTCCTTTTCCGAAGAGCAGAAGGAAGTTTTTGATAGAGTTCATGCGAAGATTGAACAGCAATATTCACAACAAGTCCTTTCTCATATTGCTGGAGCTGGTGGTTGTGGTAAAAGTTACTTGATTGACGGATTATCAGCATTGATTAGCACATTTGAAACTCAAGAGAAGCCAAACACATTACTGAAAGCAGCCCCAACAGGAATGAGTGCATTGAATATTGGTGCCACAACAACTCATAGAGCGTTTAAACTTCCAGTCCAGCGAGGTCGTATTCCACCTTACTCTGCCTTAAACAGCCGTCAGCTTGAGGAGATGCGGCAAGCAATAAGAAATGTTGAATGGATTATCTTGGACGAAATATCAATGGTTGCTTATGAATCACTTAGAACTGCCCACTTGAGACTGTGTGAAGTAAGGAACAATGACCTTCCTTTTGGAGGATTAAATGTTCTAGTGTTTGGCGACTTGATGCAGTTTGCCCCTGTTAATGGTTCTTGGTGCTTTAAGCCTCCTCCCAACCTTGCGCACGAACAGAATCTCTGGAAATTTTTCGATTTTTACGAATTACACAAGAATCATAGGCAGACTAATGAAAGTGAATACTTGAATCTGTTGAATAGATTGAGATTTGGCAATTGTACAACAGACGACTATAAACTGTTGGAGTCCAGAATTTTTAACGAGGAAGACCCGCATGATATGGAAATGGCAGCGAAATTTGCCGATGCTCTGTCGTTATTCCCAGACAAGAAGGGAGTTAAACAGCATAATGCTGAGAGAACTGAGGAGTTACGGAAGAGAAACCCGAATATTTATAATATCAAGGCACTGGATTTATTTGCAGATGGAAACAAATTCGATCAACATTGCCCGGATAATCTTATACCCAACAATGATAGATTTACGGCAGGGATCCCATCAAATATTCAACTTGGGGTGGGAAGTAGGGTGATGCTAATTAGAAACAAGAGTCTGATGAATGGTAGTTTTCTATATTTAATAATTTGTCTAAATCATTTTAGTATTAAACAAATAACTATTAATCAGGGCTAGTCAACGGAAGTGTTGGTACTGTCGTTGGTCTGAAGTGGACAGCTTTGAGAGACGAACAATTACAGGATGGAGACCTGCCTGAGGCTGTGATAATTCGATTTGATGGGGATGCTGGCGGTGCATACAGGGATCTCAACGGATACGTTAAAATCGACACGGTTACATTTGAATTCGTTGGTGAGATTAAGATCATATAAATATTTATTCGCATAATTCGCTAGCATCTTATAATTTGTTTCCTCTTATTTTAGGAAATCGTCAAACTCTAATTAAACGTAGGATGCTTCCAATTGTCCTCTGTTGGGCCCTGGTATTTCATAAATGTCAGGGATTGACGCTTCACATGGACAGCATTCAACTAGCCTTACGCCATTTCGCCAAAGCCATGGCGTACGTTGCCCTCAGTCGAGTGAAGACGAAGGAAGGTCTTCGAATCCTCGGATTGAAAGAAAAGAATATTCTGACATTGGCGCCGAATAAGACTCCATGTGATGAGGATGCGGTGAAAGAGCTGTACAGACTACGGATAATGAAAATTGGTATTGTGCTTGATAACGAAGTACAAGAAATGCTAGAGTGGATTCTGGATTTTCCTAATTGTTTTAATTGTAAAAAGTGGATTTGTCAATGTACTTGCAAGATGTAAATGTATGCTTTATTTTAGTAACATACTGATAAATTTAATAGCTTGTAGATATTTTGGTAATGAAGTTTAATTTTACAACTCATGTAACATATTTATTATTACTAGGAGTTAATAAAATCCTTATGTTGTTAATCGACGTAATTGTGGATTTATTATGACAGCATTACCAATTAAAAGGTGCTTAGTTAAGTATAATATACGGACTCCATCATCTTCAGCTAGAATTAAATAGGTTAGAAAGTAATATAATTTATAACTTTATGGGGTAGGCTTAAAAAAGTTTGGATTAAAACACATTCATACACACATACCAATTAAAAGGTTAAAATAAACTAAACCTTAAAAAAGGAATGCTTAGGCGAGACTATGTGCGATTAAAAGTATAAAATAACGCCCTCCCCCACCACCAGTGATTGAAAGCTTTGCAAAATTAGTATCACCGCCCTGGGAAAAATTTTACAATGTACGATGTATTTTTATAAAAGTAATTGCATGGTAACCAGTAGTTGATCAAAACCAAAATAATTTATATTTAATTTAGGGTTTTGTTTTTATTGCATCCAACAAAATTTGCTACATTGCAAAAAATTAAAATGTCGAATGTGTCACAAGCGTCGACTTCGATCTACGATGAGGAAATAGAGGAGGCAACTCTAAGCTCGTCAAATTTTGAATTGTTTCGAGAAAAAATAGTCAATCTAGAAAGGGAGAATAAACGATTAAGGAGCGAAAATGCATCACTAAAGTCCGAAAATTGGGTGTTGAAGACATCAGGAAATAATGCATCATTCAACCATTTATCAGAAAAGGTGATTGTATATTATGCATAACTAGTGGGTTTAAATTATAACAATATCAATATTATTTATAGCTGAAAATTGCGGAGGAGAAAATGGTGGTGTTGGATAGAGAGAAAGACAAGGCAAAGACACGTTTTACCAAAATGTTTGTGCAAAGGAACGCCGCACGTAAAGCCGCAAGATATTTCGCCAAAGGGATGAGGAAGAATTTTACAGACTATAAACAATTTAAGGCAATGGAATTTGAAAATAACATGAACGCTTTGGTTTGGGAATTTCGAGCGAGAAAAAAAAATAAAGAAGTGCTTCGTATTCAACAACAAAATAATAGCTCCATTGTGGATTTGTCGACTGGTTCAGTTGAAGATTCGATGTGCAAGTGTGGTCGAGATAAGGCTAAATTGAATGGAACGAAAAAAAGAAAAATTACAACGACGAATCAATGAGGACCGGAGCCGATGAAATGGTGTGAAGAATGCGGAAGGGTTTTGAGCCAACCTGTTTAATATTATTGTTTATTTATATTGGTCAAGATAGTGCAGCATGTATGCATTCATTTGAAGATTTAATAAATCTGTGAAATTTTTCCCAGGGTGGTGATAGTAATTTTGCAAAGCTTTCAATCACTGGTGGTGGGGGCAGGGCGTTATTTTATACTTTTAATCGCACATAGTCTCGCCTAAGCATTCCTTTTTTAAGGTTAAGTTTATAAATTAGGCAAATAATTTACGGATTTTACGGTGTAATGAAAGGCATTCTTTTCACAGAAGATGTATAACAATTGTTAATAATAAAGCTTAAGAAAGTTGTTGGTAATAAATATTTTATCCGTTTCACTTAATTTTGTAATTTTTCCTAAAATTTTACTCAGTTCACAAAGTTGGCGTGAATATGCCTAACGTGGCGAAGAGTGAGAGTGAGTGAAGAGCGGATGATTTTCGAAGTTACAGAAACCTGAAAATTTGTGCATAAATTAAATTTACAATTCGTGTCAATCCATTGTTAATTATAGTCAATTAATAATTCCTTAATTTTGTAATCCCCCCCACAAAAAAAATTTACACAGTTGAGGTGAACATGTCTAATCGCATGTGCATGGCGAATTGGCTATGAGGGGATGATTTCCGAAGTTATTACACAGAAACATGAAAATTGTGCAAAAATTAAATTTACAGTTCTGACCAATCCGATTTCCTTAATTTTGCAATTTTCCCCCCAAATTTACAAAGTTGACGTGAATATGCCTAATAAACTGCGTGTTTGTGTGTGGCGAAGAGGGGATGATTTCCGCCTTCTGTTGCATTGGCATTTCCGCATTTCCCGAAAAGAGGGGAGAAGAGGAGAACACACGGCTGATAAGATGTTGCTTGGTGAGTAATCCTGCCAGCCAAAGTCATGCATAGTATATAGCCACCCTTCACCCGGGAGTAAGAAGCCACCCGGGTTTTACTACTTTTCGGTTAGGTGGTTGGTTGGGTGGGTGGAAAAGGCTTCCTCGTAAATGTATATTCTTATCAGGTTTCCTCGGTCAGTTGTAGTTCACGAGGGGTTGAGTAAGGTAGGGATGAAAGTTTCTCTACTACCCGGGTAGTAGAAGTAGTTACATTCCGGTGCTTGAGTCATCCGATTTTCGGGGTGGATTTCATTTACAACTTGTGGAAAAGGAAACCTTGACGTAAAACTTCAAACGCAGTACATAAAATTTTTTATAGATTGTGCAAATTTGAGAAATATTATTATTTATGCAGTGTAATTTTTGCGTGAATTTGTGTAAATTTTGGAAAAAATTTGAAACTCAAATTTTGAAAATGCTCTTGTTTTTGGCCAAGGTGAGGACGCATCAGTTATCCGATTTCTTCGGAGTAGATTTCATTCACAATTTGTGGGAAATTCTTGGAGGAAAAATTTGCATTAGTTTGAAACGCAGTGTGTAAAATGTTGGGGAAATCTTTTAACGTATGTAGTGTAATTTATGTGTATTTGTCTGGATTTGTGTAAATTTTGCGACAAATTTGTAACAAATAAATTGCGAAAATGCGCTGGATTCTTGACCATGGTGAGGGCGCATCTCATTCAAATGGTGGTAACGACCCTGTTTCTCGATGGAAAGCGTGCATGCTTCGTCTCCGGCTTCCACCACGGAGTGAAAATCCAGACAAATTTGTAGATATGGAAAAACAGGAAGTTTCTGAAAATGGAAAGTTTACACAAAATCCTACACAAAATTCTGAGAATGGAAATTTTGCAGAAAATTCAGGCAATGAAACTGCAAAATGTTTCCAACCTAACGGAAATTGCACATCTATCCAAGCCGTCTCCGAATCTGTATTACGCGTGGCCCAAGAAGTATCCCAAATTCGCACTGAAGTTAAAAAAGTTCGCGAAAAAGTTGATGCCGTCGGTGGTCTGATTGGCACCGCGTATTACGACGCGGCTCAAAATTCTGAGGTAATTCAAAATGTGCAAAATTCCGAAGAAATTCAAAATGTGCAAAATTCCTTGCGAAGAAAAATCCCCAATTTGCAAAACATTAGTGAAACATCACTCCAAAGTTGTGACATCCTAATTTCCGATTCAGCCGAGCCCCAAAATTGTGCCAATTTTTTCGCAAATGTTGGTCCAAAAAATAAAACTTGCAAAAATATCACGTTTAAAAATCCTGCCGAAGTCAGAACGGAAGACGAAGCGGATTCCATCCGATCCAGAACGTCGTCCTCGTCCGGGTCCTCGCTTGACCTTGACCCGGACGACCGTGACCTCGACTCTGGCCTTGACCTTGGTGGACGTCATTCTCGCCGTCCTTCCGACCTGGTCGAAATTGTGACAATTGAGGACGACAAAAATTTTGGCGAAAATGCGAATTATTTCGTGGTAGAGGACCGCTGGCGAAAACTGTTTGACAAATATGACCCCGAAGGATTCGGGGAAATTCCATGGCCCGACTTTTTAGCCACGTTGGAAAATTGCGAGTCTGACTTTTGGCGAGAAATTCCACCCGGAAAGAGACAACTTTTACGGGATTTGGGTCTCATTTACTCCCAGGATACGAGTGCCATCACGTTCCAGTGTTTCGTTAATATTGTGAGTGCAAAAAAAAATTATGAATTTTATACAAAATTTTGAGAATTTTTAGGATTCAGGTTTCCGAAATATTTAGTTAAAATGCACATGAGCAAATAATCTGCATGCTTTTATGAGCTTGTAAAAAATCACACTCTTAGAAAACTCGTATTAAACCCATTTTGATGAAAATATTCCACGTATTTATTTCAGTGTTTCGTTAATATTTTGAGTTGAAAAATTATGGATGATTTTATACAAAATTTTGACAATTTTCAGAAATATTTAGACTTTAAATAAAATACAATTTGAGCATATAGCAGTGCACAATGTTTTTATAAGCTTGCAAAAAATCCTACTCTTAGAAAACTGGTATATGACTCTACCGACACGGCAATGAAAAATTTAACACTCAGAAATAAACTACTACCAATCCGGTAGAAAGTTATTACCAAATCAATACTAGTACAGAGTGCATATCTGACCCTACCAGATTTTTAACAGTGTAGAAAAAAAGAAAATCACAAAATGATGAATATGCATATTTTCCCTCTGATTTTTTTAAGCAAAAAATTGTGTATTTTTCCCATTTAACTCGGAGTGGTTATCATAATGCCAGAAATTCTGAGTTTTTTTATATTTTTATTGCAAACTATAACCAAAGATCATGTATTGTCAGTCAGTTTCCAATTCGATCTGTAGAAGTTCTTAGGATTAGTATTATCAAATTTAAAATTGATTACGCTCTTGTCGCGATAGTCTTACATATAGTACATATTTACATACAATCGGCAATTCACGTCAACCTTCGTAATTAAGCTCGTAACAACTTAAACTTAAGTATTATGAACCAAAAATATGCCTTTTATCTTTGCAAGGTTTTGTCACTTCGTAAGCAAAAATCACCTTCGAAATGTTCCCAAGTTTCGTCAAAACATTGTAAGTTTGCTTACGATGACACTGTTGAAACGGGGTTATTTCTACTATATAATTCTACAACTACTGGATTCGTTCAGGAAGGAGGAGAGTTCAAAAAATGGGGGTTTTACGTAGGGAAAGGAAATAATGAAAAAATCTTAGTAGAAAGAAAACGTGCAAAAATTCATGAATCTATTACAGTCTTGGGATCAGTAAAAATCT